AATACAGATCCCTTATTTAGCAGCTCTTATAAAATTCAAGTGATACTTGTAGTAAATCTCGATCTTTAAAAATCGGTAAAGATACTACACATACATACATTCTGGCCACGATAACTGATCCCCAGACGTGTTATCAGATCCTCGATTCACGGTGTACCGGTTTTCAAATGTTATTGGAGGAGAAACACGACATCGATACACGATATACTTCATTGAATTACCTTACTGAAATTGCATGTTCTAATTTCGGACGACAGCGACTCTACATATATAGTACAATGTAAGCTTGCGTTTCTTAGAAAGTATACGCAGTCTTCGCAGTTAGAATTTACAATTTTATAGGTATCTTAATAAACCGAATAGTTAGTTCAAATTCTGATATTACTTACCAACCAGGTAGGCACGTAAAGACATGCAGAGTCTCTGAATAAAGAATCCGAACGACGAATTAACTCGTCTCTTTCGCTTAATAGATTCAAATCAATATGCAACTAGCGCAAATATCGTACGAAATTGTTTTGAATATTTCAGTAAAATTTATAACTTCTTTTCCATAACCGTTCCATATGTTTTAAACAACGCTTTCACCCATTCTACTTATCTAGAAAAAACATTCTGCGTGGGAGAAAGATTCATAAAAACGACGTGGCACGGCGCGGCGTTATGAAATTATTGGTAGGTAGCTTTTAGCAGCGCTTTGCCATAGTGATAATCAGACCGCCTAGAAAACGTAGCAATAGCGATTCAACGAGCCATTGCTCGGTTGAAAAAAGACTCCTTTAAGACGGTGAACGGAAGGCAGACGAGTAACAATTTCTTTTAACGATCGAAATTTCCAAACGAACCACGAAGTACCGCTCTATTACGCGCGTCCAGCGTGCCGAGAAAATTCAATTACAACGTCGGCGGACTGATAGGACAGGCATAGTTCTGACTGGATAGTCGAATGGATCAGATTCATCGCAAAGTGTAAATTGTGCAATACACTTCCTACGGAACGAGTCGCGTCGATAATTACACTGGTCTTCTAATGACTGAAAATCCTCGATGAATGCAATCACGATTCCTTTCTATGGAAATGAAACACCCACGATCATTTGAATGTGTAGGCCGAACAACGTCAGGGAATGTACTCATGGATAGACTCATGATGAATAGACCTCAGGAGACTTTCGTTATGCTTCCTTATCCGATTCATTTCTATAGTTCAGTTCCTTTTTGTAGTGCATATAATCCATTATCGTCTACGTATTTATAAGCTTTAGAATCTAATTAACTTGAATCCGTTGCTAGTTTATATCCCGCTTGCTTTTTCCTCCAAGTAGGATGTGGAAGAGTGGTACAGAAGTATGTGGTGTCACGTTGCAGTAGCTAGGATGAACAAAATAGTGACAACCGGAAAGGAAAAATATGACAGATGTTCCAAGTACTAAGATAATCTACCTGTGTGTATCGAATGTTGGTGTTACGTTTTATAAGAAATAAACATGAAAACTGTTACATAAAAAAAGATATTTGATTTTGTTACTACTTTGCTGGAATATATCATTAATAAAAAAACATGTGCAACCGCTGGTACAACTATCGTGAATGTATGAAATGCAAGTTGAGATGAACGAGTTCTTTCTCTAGATACATTAACAAGCGGTGTGGTAATTATAACTATTGCAATTCAGGCATAATTTGAATGTCGACAACAAAACTATGAAAGATATTTGTTTATATTTTTCTTATATTATTTTAATTAAAATCGTTTACGTATAATATAGTTAGATACATATTACAGGTCGGCAATTTTAACGTTAATAGACGTAGGATATGAAAAAGTAATCTGTGGTACGGATGGAAATGGAATGTAATTATGTGATAGACAACAATTGCACTAACAACCAAGGAAAGTAGTGTGGAAGCTATATAATTAACTGCGGAAGAAAGTCAAACCGCTAGCGATTGTTGAAAAGACGACGATCCACAGGAAGATTCAGAGCTGAACGATCGTTTCGCAGATCATTGATCTTAGTTTCTAGATTGTCTCTTTCCCTTCTTGCCAAGTGTAATATAACGTTACTATGAATAAACCTCCAAGCTACCAATTCTATCTAATGTTATATTCCATTTTATAAAACTAGCAAGGCATAAAAAATATTGTATCAATGTAGCGAATTAACTCGAAGTTAATTATATTATTCGTGTTAAGAATAAAATTTAATCGATTATGATAATTTTAAACAGGCAACACTTTTTGTTCCGTTAAAAGCAGTACATTTCAAATAATAGCGATTGTTGAACGTGAAAACATGAAAACTTTATAGCAATACATGAAAAGATCGCGGTGATATTTTCTAATTTTTCTGTCAACCTGTGATATCCAAAAACACATAATTTAATGTAATTTCATTTCATTCGTGTAATTTAAGCTCGATATACAAGTTTCTTGCAGTTCGCAAAATTAAACTGAATTCTAAGAACACATGCTTTCCTCCTTGTCAGTTCCTCTACCAAATGACAGTGTAATTAACGACAATTAGATGGAAACCGGCTAGCGAAAAAAATTCTGCTGCGAAAGTGACTTTTCTATTACGAAACAGTACGAATATTTCGTATCAATTTAACGCAGCTACTAGTTGCAGAATTAAGAAAGATACTCGATGGATTTATAATCCGTGAACACGGATCAGCGATCCTGCTCTTACGTTTCTATTTAAGTTTCAATGATTTTATTAATTCGTTTGACTGACCCAGATTGTGAGATTTACGCAACGTTTCAACATCCTATTTTATAAATCACGCGAAAATCTAGTTTAGATGTTGGTATCGATCGCAGAGGAAGTGGAAATGCACTTCCTGAATGCAACGAAGCACACGAAAAGAAAAAAAAAGAAAATTAACGTAATAGAATGCAACATTGTGGCGTGTAGCGGCGAATTCATCATTTTCTTTTTTTATGTGTCGAGTGTCACAGAATGTTACGTGATCCTCTCTGTATAAATATAACAGTAAAATGACAGCAGAATATTTCTTTGTACTTAACCGACCCGATATGGAAAACATATAAGACTACACTGAATTTTTTATACTACATCCTTATCTATATTATATACTATACCATGATATAATTCTAAAAAAGGAAGATTCAAAAATCGCATATTGAAACATATTTTATTACTAGTTATAAAATAGATCCGATAAAGATAACTTTCGAATTATTATTGAAATAATTTCGCGTGAAAGTGCGGATGGCAAAGAAAGGCAGTGAAGTGTACCAAATATACCTTTGCGATACTCAAACACTAATGAAATCATTCAATAAATGGATCAGTATGGCTCTTGTACTTTCTTTTACATAACAATTTCCTTAGTCCTTATAAGCATAGTTTGGACGTTTGTTTCCTGTAATAATTTTCACGTAATCAGCGATCAACAGTCACGTTCTTATAGAGAGGCAAGATGTACCGGTCATCGTTCCACGTAAATGACCATTCATTTCTCCGATAGCGTTGCTTATTTTATAAGTAGCCACTCACTCACTCGATGTGAAATTTTTACTAATGCATTCCTGACAGTAAATGAATCCTGACGTAGTAAACACAGTATATAATATCGACCATTGCAATTTTTTATCGTTATGTATTTGATTACTTCTATCGAAGAACAAAATATAATAAAAGCAATAAACAATTTGCGTAAATATTTATTTCGTACGGAATGCTTCATAAAGGATTGAAACGTCACACACACACACACATACACACACATCGTATACACATACATACATATATAAGGAATATTTATTTGTACTTTATTATCACATCATATGTTTATAATTTATCAATATTTCTCATATTATTTAAGGTTAATAAGTGTTATGTACTACGATATTTGATTGGTTCTATAACTACAGAACTAACCAACTGGTGCACATGCGTGTATTTAGTAGTATTTCTGCGCCCGTCGGTGTGTTAATATCAAACTTAAAAGTAAAATGCCGCGTAACGAACTCGGATACGAAGAAGATAAACAATTGTACATAGAGAATTGGATATGTACCATGGCTGGAAGTAAATTTCGATATTCAGAATTTCCCCATAATGAAATTTCTCTCAGGCTGCGAATGGTAAAATGACATCAAAATATAGTTCGAACAAATTATGGAAATTTACGAGCGTGTGGATATCATTTTTCCATTCCCAGATTGAAAGAAATTCTATGTGAATGTTAAATTTTCCTTTTGAAATTATTTTTTCTTTTTCATTTCTCCGAATTTGTCTTTCCTTTTCGATGGAAATAGCAGAAAAGAATAGGATCGGGAATGAACGAGTTTCGCATGTGGGCGTGGTTGAAAACCTTCTCTTTCGCGATTCACAAAGGCCTGCATTAACGTTCCAGCCGATTTATAACTGGTTCCATTGGTTATTGCCATTTCTGTAATGCACGTGGGTATCAGAAGCACCCTATAGCAACTTGCCCAGTCTTTCTACCTTTTTCTGAATATCTCCGATATTTGCTTATTTTAAATATATCTGGTAAAGATCGTCCTTGATCTTTTGGTTGCGATCGCGTTCAAGGTACATACTTACTTATGTGCATGCCTATTTTCTGACTACGTACCGCCGTATTTAATGTTTGCATGTAAAAACCAACACACAATACATAATGCGATATGTCTTGATCACTTAATACTTTGATAAATATTTATAAGAAATACGATTTGAACGATCTGACACGTTGTTTGTTTCTTCGGTGAATGATCTTTTATCGTGTTCCAGTTTATAATATCGCATATATATTGTATAGATCTGTGATACATATCCTGTTTACATACCTGAATATATAATGTAAAGACAATTCACTTTATCAATCACTAATCCTACGATTCGATTGTATCACAGATCTATCATAACCGCTGACCTCTACGATATAGTAGTAAGCCGCGTAGTGTCATTTAACGGTTGCGAGCAAGAGCGATGCGTAGCCGTAGCGTATTGTATTGTTGACTTTAGTCGAGGCTCGGTCGTAGGGACATATTTGGCGGTTGTCGAGTAATGTAGTCGAGGCTCGTACCAAAGATGTTAATATTTACAAGGTTGATATATCGATAAATCTCTCTGTTTTACCTTTTAGTATGTACTTTCGAGGTAATAACACGTACTCGAGTTTCCAATATTTTAATTAAAGTCACTTGCTTATTAGAACACCTAAATACGCATTTTAAATATAATTTACTTTCTCTGTGATAAGCAATTACATATTTCTAAAATTCGATCGTATTACTCGATTCCATATTTATCATCGTACAATATTTAATTTAATTTATATTTATGTTAAATGTCGAATATTTTTTTTTAATCTACTGTTCGACAAACAAAAATTGGTTTATCGATCATAATCCTAAAGAACAAATCGTATCTATTAACGATTGATTCCGCTGCTTATCAGAGACCAAAATGTTTCTTATAAATAATGATGATCGACATGAAAAAGCTTTAAAATTGCAGTTTTAATATTTTCATAGTTTACGCTTTATGGCGTGAACAAACCTACGAACCGTTTCAGCTTGTAGCTCGATTTTAATTGACGCGTTTGCGAATGAATGCAAGATACGTGTTATGTACGTAGCGTGCAAAGCGCTCTTTTAACGCATTCGTCATACTATAACATTTACACGATTATTATTACAATTAATGAAAACGTTACGATCGCGAATGATACGCCTATAAGAATTAAAAATAACGTAATGTGGATGAATTCTGTAACGCGTTCCGTGGTACATACCGCGTATATACGATAGATCGAGCCTTGTACATAATGCAACAGTAAGAAACCAGTATATGTATCATGAGAGAACTCGCATTATTTTAAGCAGATCACACTCTGGGGCAGGACTATCACGGTAATTGATTTAACGTCTCGATTGTTCAGTTACATATATACATGTATGTATATAATATATATTGGTTACTATTTAGGAAAAACGTAGGATCTAAACGACATGTATTAAAACTACGTAATATTCTAGTATTATACGACTAGGACCTAATGTTTTAACCAGACGATTCTTTCATATTTCTTTCGAACTGAAATTTGCCAAAAATAGAAAAACTCGATTAGGTTGAAAATGGTTCAAAATACGCGGTAGAGTAACACCAATTAAAATCCAAATTCGACCAATTATCGATCGAATAAGGCATTCGTATCGAACGATCACTCTCATGCCGAGCATTCTTGTTATAGTGATGTATGTACACTTAACCATGAAATATTTGTATGTCGATAAACATTTTACGATGTCGCTTACCCGAATCATTGATTGAAGATCGATTTGCAGAGTGACAGGAGTCCCCGTGGTTCGCGAAGAAGACTCAGGCGAACATGATCAGGGACGCGGAATTTGAAACCAGTTGCGTGTCGATCGTAGAAAAAAAGGACCAGCTTAAAATCCCTGTCGAAGGTAGTAAGTTCACAGCACTTAGCCACGGTGTGGTTGTCTAACCGGTACTCCGGTACTGTACGTTCGAAACGATACAGACAGGATTGGCGAGCGAAGAGCAGGGCACGCGAGTGCTGCCTCTGTCTTCGGCTGATGCTCGCTCCTCGCTACTCGCTGCTACACGGCCACAGGAACCACGTTGGTGCCCCCTCCTTTTCTCAGTTTTTTCTTCCTTACTACGTTGCCTCTCACAATGATCCGTTACTCCTTCCGCTTGTGTCTGCTAACCTTATCCGATCGCCCGTTCGTTCGTTCCTTCGTTCCTTCGTTCGAATGATACCGAGATTTATCCAATTAATATAAAATAGCCGAGTCCCTTCAAATAACAATTTTAGTTTTCCTTGTTACACGATATTTCACATTTACACGATCAAAACATTTTCAAGTAAAGATATCGAGGATTGTTCTGTAGTTAAAAAGTTACGTAAAAGATTTTTTATCGTGTTTTTTATCCATTATTTTGACCTCACAATCCCAACCTAACCTTGTGCATAATAACGTAAACGTGGTTATAGCTAGACCGCGAATGTTTATGCAAATTTATAGTTTCGCTGCCACACAAGTATACGCTTTAAATATATCGTAGATTATCGTGGAATTTGATAAATGTTATTATCCCTCTAGACACCAGAATTCATCGGATTTAAAAGATATCTGCATATAGTAACACAGTTGGTATATACCTTTCACACTTTTGTGTTTCGTAGGATATATCATCTAGGCGATTAAATTTTCATAATTAGCTATGGATTACAGTGAATCCATAATGAATGAAGTAAATAGTGTTCCGCGGTTCTACCTACCGTTACTCTTCTTTTCGCTGGATTTTCCTCTGTTTCTTCTGCGTATTTTCCATAACTGTATTCATGCAAAATAAAATGCTAATAATAAATGATAATAAGATACGCGTAAAATATAGAGTGAATTACTTTAAACGTCTGTCGATTGGACTATACGATTTAATATCCAGCTTTTCCCATAATTCAAATATGTATGGTCAAATAGAGAGGCGATTTTGTACGAAAATGTAAATGAAAAGCATAGAATTCTGACGAAGTTTTATTTTCGATCAAAAATTTACTTTAAATATTTGCATAACACGTTTATATTTATTGTAATGGATACCGAAAAGTATAGTATTAAGTGACGATAACGATAAATTGTATTATTTTGTAATAAAGGTAGAATCGCCCAATTGTACTATCACTGATAAAACATCCTGTATATTCTACTATACAATGGAAAAAGAATCAAAGGCCAACAGCTTCAGTTTTAGACTTTTTATGAAAATTTCTTTATCCATTTATTATTTAAGGATCATCATTAATATTTGTTTCACTCGGTTTATGCAGTGTTTTGTCGCATTTATTACCTCAAAGTGATTAAACTTTCTAGCAGGATGATTTATCGGCGAAACTCAATAACACGCAGGGATTCGTGCGAATTTTCTTGATGGTAAGTTATTAGGCTATGACTATGACACGTTATATCGGACAGTTTCTTATCTAATTCCACGTACCAAGTAGCGCGTCAACATTTGCAAACGAGAAAAAAGAAGGAAAAAGCCTATCTGGAAAAATTGTTTCACGATTTGATGCATCAGTGCGTTCTCTAACGCGTTTTCATTCTTCTCGATAGAGTATTAACCGACACTGTACCATTCGTCTCGCAATTTTTTTGAAAACCGCGTGTTTCAGGAAGCGTGAAACATTACATTCGATAAACAAGATATAACATATGTTTGTCTTTCGTTCGGATCAGTTGTATTATACTTATATATAATATGAGTATGCAAAAGTTTAACAAACTACGATAAATGTTTTATTATGTTATATTAACGCGTAAGAATATTCCGCTGTTATATTTTTAAAAGATAGGAACTTAATTTCCACGATTAATATAATATTACAGCGTTTTTATCATTTCTCCACACTTTTACAAACTTGGCAATTTTACATTATGACCTTTTTCTACATATAATAGGTAGTTAGAATAATTTCTGATCTTATATTGTTACATTTATTATTGTACAACCATAATTACAGCGATAAAATCTCGGTTTAGATTTCACGCTAACTGTTGTTTCGTTGGGGTGACTTTTCCTTTAATAATTTTGCATTTCCTTTAATATTCGAATAATTTTGCATAAACACAAACGCTCATTGTAACGTATATGATACGTAACGTCGTATCAAATTATTCGTTTAATTTATCATCGTATGTTTTATGCGATAACTCTCTTGCTACGTATTTTTCATCAAATTATTTTATATTATATTTCAAACAATTTTATTGCAGTTATAATTACTATTTTATTATTTGTTTTAGTATCGTTCGACAATAACAGATCATAACATTATTGATATTTTTGCGCTATCATATGTAAGCTATTTTACTGTAAGACTTTAGTTATCTATGCAAACAAGATAGGTTACATTCAGTGAATTAGGGACAGCGATGTTTCGCAGAACTTAATTAGTAGAAGATAATCAATAGTGCAATATAAAGAATTGCGAAAGTTTGTGCAAACTCGTATTCCTGCCATATAATCAAGCAAACGCATAATAAGTAATTATTAATTAAACGAATTTCACAGAAGAGAAATTAATGTTGCAAGCAGCGTCAATTACAGAACACAAATCGAGAAGAAATTATAACGAATTAAATTGCGATTAGCGTAAAAACCTGTTGAATAACGCGATGCTTGTAAAATATTTGCAGTGAACTAGACGGTGGAAAACAGTTTCTGAATGTTTGTATTATCTTTAATGATTCATGTGCGTAAGTTTAGATGAAGTACCTCAAATATCTGCCTACTTAGTGTCTTCTAGAAAAGTACTTAACACAATGGTAAATCGTTGCATTTTTGCTAAAGACTGTACATAGTTCCTTGCTTACCTACTCTTGAAAATCGATAGTTTCTTTGTTAACTTAAATATTACATAGATACACATGAATCTATGTTTTTTTTATCTCTACTGTCTAATGTACTGTCATCAAATAATTTGTTATTTATTTTATAATAGTTAATAGCTTTTAATTTTAGATATCTTTTAATGGAAGTAGCAGCAAACCGAACCGAGTACTGAACGAATAACGATAAATGTAAAATGTGTAAGATTTTTCGTAACGCACTTTTTCATAATACAAATTAACGATATTTTCAAAATTCGTTTAATACTTATTCTCTAGAATATTGGTTAGTTCTTTACATGAGGTGTTAAAAAGTATTTTCACATGTCGCTATGTTCGGTATAACGTCTTTCCCAAAATATTCTTCTATAAATTCGCAGTTAGTATTAATAATATAGAATTATAAACACGATTATTGCTTTAGCATGGATGGTTATGAAAATTGGATACAGCGGAGAGAAATTTAATATTTAAACAATAAGAAACAGTTTACCACGAGACTGTTGTTATTTAATAAATTCTTAACTATAAAATAAAATTATGAAACGTATTACAAACGGAACGTTATTAGATTTGTAACAAAAAATTTATTTGTTTAAACTAAATAATATTTTGATTTTTTTCTACACACACACACGTATGTATAATACCATCGACTATTCGGTTACAGAGAATAAATAATGTATGTACATATGTATTTATGTTGATCTCGTTTACCAGTACATGATAAAGTGAAGGCTAATTAAATATTCAAAATCACAGGTGGACATCTATATTCGTACAAGAGAACGTCTTATTGCACTTAAAAGTATTCGTATCGATATTTCTGCTACGAACTTAAATTAGTAGCTTTCATCATTGAGGTTTAAAAATTCAATTATATGTTTGAATATATTTAGAAATATACAAAGGAATTTATGTAATTTATTCTTATTTTTAAAAATAATATATTAATATCTGAAAATCAAGTTATAATGTAGATAAATACCTTGGAAAATCCAGCATAAATGAGAATAATCTATTAATATAGTATATATGATATACTAAAATATTTTATATTTATGATTGTTTGATAAATATTTATTTATAATAATTTTGGACGGTCGATACTTTATTAACTTAAATTTCCTTTTGCTACTTTTGCTTATGAAATATCAAGTGTGTTTCGCATCGATTTCCTTGGTCCTCTGTTTAATACATTTATGACCAAGTAGATGGAGCAATGTGTTCTACGAAACAGTTTTCGTTTTTTGTAGAAATCGCTTTTATCAATATTTAAGCAACCAAACTGATTTTTATTAAAATGCTTATAATACTAATTAATAATAAATTAATTATCCTGCAAGAAGACTATGATACATTTTTTACATTTTTACTTTCATGAAGGGAATTTTTCTAGAATTTTATAAATATAATAACAAGTAAAATAAATGAAAAATTTACTGCAGTCTGCCAACTCCTGCAATTCGTTCAACTAAGTTTTATTAATCGAGTTTCGTTATAAATTGTTAACTTATCTTGTCGTGATAATACGCATGATATCGTACGGAATTTTTCAAACTATTCTTTTTACGTACAAAATAGTATAAGTAATATAGTCTTTCATATCTATTTGATGTTAATAAACAATTATTTGTTCATAATTAATGAGTAACGTACTTCTCCACATTTCCTTTAATTTCTTATCATCTCCTGAGTTTTCTATTTCTCTATCATAAACTTTCTATTCAATCGGTGAAAAGAAACTAAATATATACTCTTGCAATACAAAAATTCGAAAGATACATTTTTACTTTTGACTTGATCGGTTTTCACCATATTCGATAACAACATCTGCCTCTGTTTACCTTACGTCAGGGGACGGATAAGGATGAAAAAGCACCATATGTTGTATAGATTAATCTTCCTCGCTCGTGTATGGATTAAATAGCAAAATTATGAGTAATGTTAGTACTATCTTTAAAAAGTTCATATGTATGTATGTAAAAGCTAATATTTAGCTACTTCTTTTTACATTGCTTTTTGTTTCGATATACATATATGCTTAGAATCGTATTCATATCGATTACATTTTAATTACTTTTGGGGAGGGGGGGAGTTTCTCCTCGCTTTGGCAATCAATTAGTACACGTCTCACGGTAATTCTCATATCGCGAGTATCATGTTTCATTGGTAAAGAATGTTATCATTTGGATAATTTTAATTCAATCTCGTAAAGAATGACAGAAAATCGTCGCAAATGTCGAATATCGCGATACGATTTGCCAAACCGGTCGAAAAATAAATTTCCGACCCGTTTGCCGTCCCCTATTCCCGCATCTATCAAACAGTCATCATCTGACTTACAATTTTATCGATCGAGAAAAAACGGTCTCGCAACGTTTCAGTCGTCAGCTGCTCGTTCTACACACCCCTTGCATAAATTGAAGAATCCTTTCACAGTCGGCGAGGGTCCCACGGAATCGGTTGATCCCACAGAAACGATAAATTCCGCTTAGCGACTTGCGACAAACTCCTAATTTCTCTGCAGGACATCGTCACCCATGCGTCACTCTTCATTTCACAAATTCACGGTAGCAAAGCAATAAGCTGGCCACCCATGGCTTCTCAATTGATCTGGACAATACGGGACGCGATCGAATTTGTTTAATTTTTTCCTTTTCTTCCTTCTATTTGCTTCTCCTATAATTAGTGTTTTTTTCTTATTTTTATCTTCTCGGAAACAATTCGTTTATCTTGCGTTAACCCACAGTAACCGGATTTCATTCGTGTTCAAGTTTAATAGAAACAACTATTGAATAACTACTAATAAATTGGTCGCTAGTAGTGTGATTATGTAATAACAAGATGCTGATTGCATCGACGATGAAATGATGAGATATAATTAGCTGAGAAATGTTGCCATGCACATAATTAGTAATTAGTAATTTTGGGATGATAATAAATATGTTAATAACCCATACTTGTACCAAACAGCAGTAGTTTTTAAAATTAAAAATGGAAATTTCAAGTTTTTCTTTATAAACTACAGCAATTCGGTGTATTTTCTTTTGGTATGAGTATAGAGCGATATTCCGAAACGTATTATTGCATTAAGCACGATGGTATTAGTTACGATTTCTAGATATTCGAGAATGAATCTCTAACGATTAATTTGATCTTCCTAACGAGCGGTTTCTTGTCTTTGTGTACTATAAATCGGATTATTAATCATAATTGATCGCCATTTCTGTGATATTTACATATGTATATATATATATATATATATATACATATATATATATATATATATATATATATATATATATATATATATATATATATATATATATATATATATATATATATATATATATATATATAT